GCGTGTCCCCAACCCTGTGTCCCCTGTCCCCGCAGCCTCGGGCTCCTTCCTGCTGTACAACGAGCACCAGGCGCGGTGCGTGGTGGCCGCGGGCCGGCTCCTCACGGCCACCCAGTGCCAGCCCGGGGCCACCTCCCAGCGCTTCCAGTGGCTCCCGGGCGGGCGCCTCTGGAATTCGGGCTCCGGGCTCTGCGTGACGGCGACATCCCGGCAGAACCTGGCGCTGGTGCGGCTGGCGCCGTGCCGGGAAGATTCCCGGCTCCAGCGCTGGGAATGTCGGCCCGGGGCGCTCCTGGCGCTGTCGGGCCTCGAGCTGCACTTTAACTACGGGAATAACGCCCAGAACGAGGTGATGCTTTACACGGGAACCGGCGAGTGGAGCCGCTGGGTCGTGCACGGCACCAAGGACGACGTGTGCTCCCGCTCCGGTCAGTCCTACAGGGCTTGGCTGGGCTCGGACTAACCTGAGGGGGAGCTCTGACCTGGTTCGGGGCGGTTTAAACCGAGCTCAGGGCGTTGAAATCAGTTTAAATGTGTATTTAGGGGGATTAAGCCGAGCTCAAAGTGAAACGAAGCCCGGAAACTGGTTTAAGTGCGTATTTGGAGTGATTTAGGTGGTTTAATCTCAGCCTAAAACGTTAATGCCGATGGCTGTCTAGGATGATCCAGAAATATAAGTGATTTAACCCTAAATCATCCTCGACGTGTGCTCCTGCTCCAGTCAGTCCTAAGGGGGTTATCCCGAGTTATCTGGGCTCGGACTAACTGTCTGCTGGCTGAAAAGCAGCTCTGACCTGGTTCGGGGGGTTTAAACTGAACTCAGGGCGTTGAAATCTTGTTTAAATGTGTATTTAGGGGGATTAAGCCGAGCTCAAAGTGGAAGGGGGCGTTGAAATTGGTTTAAATCTTTATTTCGGGGGACTTGGGTGGTTTAATCTCAGCCTAAATGCTGATGGGGATCAGGGGCGAGGGGAAGGACCAACCTGGTTTGGGGTGGATTAAGCTGAGCTCAAAGTGGAACCAGGCTTTGAAATTGGTTTAAGTCTTTAATTGGGGTGATTTAGGTGGGATTTAACCTACACCCGACCCAGTCCTAACCCCAAACATCCAGGATTTAGTCTAATTCTAACCCAGTCCTAACCCTAAATGTCCAGCATTTAACCCAATCCTGACTCAGCCTAAACCCCAATGGGAGCCAAAACCAGCCCTAACCCCAAACATCCAGGACTGGACCTAATCCTGACCCAGTCCTAACCCTAAATATCCACCATTTAACCCAATCCTGACCCAGTCTAACCCCAGTGAGACCCCAAACCTGACCTAACCCTAAATATCCGGGATTTAACCCAATCCTAACCCAGCCTGAGACCCCTGGTGGCCTAGTGGTTAGCGTGCAGGACTTTCACTGCTGCGACCACGGGTTCAAATCGCGGTCTCCTGGCCTGATGGAGGTCGTTAGCCCTGTGTGGCCATCCATCTATGAGAAGGACACTCTAAACAAACCTACGTCCTGAGGACCTCACTGCCATTGTCCAAGCTTGCTTGGCCCCGGCAGATGAACCTTAGGATTAAAGGGTGGGCTCAGTTCAGCGCAGGCTGTGTCTCACCTAAAAAATCCATTGCGCAGGCTGGAAAGGTAAAAGACCTTTCCCCAAATCTTCGTTCGCGAAGATGGGCCATTATTAACCCAGCCTAAACTCCGGCGTATCCCCAAACCCAGTCCTAACCCCAAATACCCGGGATTTAACCCAGTTTAGAGCTTCTCTAAGCCCCAGGCGGGGTCTAAATCCCCTTTCCCGTGCCCAGGCTGCCCCCCCCTGCTCCAAGGGCTGGGTTTATTTCTGGAATTCCTGCTACTTCTTCTCTAAAACCGAGACCACCTGGACCGAGGCCCAGAGATTCTGCTCCGCCCTGGGGGCGGAGCTGCTCGAGGTGGACGAGCCCGAGGAAAAGGTGAGGGGGGGAAGGAGGGATCCAGGACCCAGCCCTAGTCCTAAGTTTGTAGGATTTAAGCTCGTCCTAAAACCCTCCAGATCCCAATGAATCCCTAAACTACCCCAACCCTAAATTTGTAGGATTTAAGCTCATGCTAAGACCTTCCTGACCTCAGAGAGGCCCTAACCCTGCATGTAGAGGATTTAAGCTCATCCTAAACCCCTCCAGATCTCAGTGAGGCTCTAACCCAGCCTAACCCTAAATATGCAGGATTTAAACTCATCCTAAAATAATTCAGGCCCCAATGAGACTCTAACTCACCTCTAGTCCTTGAATTTACAAGACTTAAGCTCATCCTAAGACCCTCCAGACCCCAATGAACCCTCTAGACCACCTAACCCTAAATTTATAGGATTTAAGCTCATCCTGATGGATTTAAGCTCATCCCAACACCCTTCAGACCCCAGTGAGGCTCTAACCCAACCTAACCCTAAATTTATAAGATTTAAGCTCATCCTAAGACCCTCCAGACCCCAACAAGGCTCTAACCCACCCCAGCCCTAAATGCACAGGATTTAAGCTCATCCTAAAACCATCCAGACCCCAACGAAGCTCTAACCCACCCCCAACCCTACACATGTAGGATTTAAGCTCATCCTAAGACCCTCCAGACCCCACCAAGGCTCCAACTTTACCCCCAACCCTCCTTTCCCACACCCTGACCCCAAATAAGCCGAGTTTAACCCCAAACCCTCCTCTGAACTGCCCTCCCCCCGACCCCAAAACCCCCCCAAAGCCCAAACTCTGCTCCAAGGCGGGAATCCCATCGGGAATCGGGAAGGGGGGGGATAGGGGGGTCCCGCGTTGTCCCCTCTGTCCCCCTGGGGTGGGGGAGGGGTAACGCCCCTCTCTCCCCCTCCCCCGCCCCAGAAACGCGTCCAGGGTTTGCTGCAAAGCCCGGCCTGGCTCGGGATCCGGGATGAGGAGCTGGAGGGAACCTGGAAGCGCCGAGACGGCTCCGTCCTGCCCCGCAACGGCAGGTCAGGGGCGCTGGGGGATTTGGGGGAAATTTGGGGGTTTGGGGGGACTTGGGGGGATTTGAGGGATTTGGGGGGTTAGGGGATTTGGGGTGTTTGGGGGGATTTGGGAGATTTTGGGGGATTTGGGGGATTTGAGGGGATTTGGGAGGATTTGAGGGGATTTGGGTGTTTGGGGGATTTGAGGGCTTGGGGAGGTTTGTGGGGTTTGTGAGGATTTGGGGAGATTTGGGGCATTTTGGGGAAATTTGGGGGTTTGGGGGATTTGTGAGGATTTGGGGGAATTTGGGGGATTGGGCATTTTGGGGAAATTTGGATGTTTGAGGAAATTTGAGGGGATTTGGGGAGATTTGGGGGGTTTAGGGGGTTTGGGAGGATTTGGGGGATTTGGGGGATTTGGGGAGTTTGGGGAAATTTGGGGGGTTTGGGGGGTTTAGGGGATTTGGGGGGATTTTGAGGTGGTTTGAGGGATTTGGGGACCCCCCAAACTGTGCCGCTCCCCCTTTTTTGTGGCAGTTGGTGGCACCGGGACGAGCCCAACGGGGGGACTCTGGAGAACTGCGCGGGGCTGGGGGTGGACGGGCAGTGGTTCGATTATCCCTGCGCCGGGAAGCTCCGCTGGGTCTGCGAGGGAACGCCCTGATCCCAAAAAACACCCCCCGGGCCTCCCCGAAACCCGGGATTTGGGAGTGGGGGAATAAATGTGTGTGTGTGTGCGGTGAGGGGCTGCTCTGGGATCACTGGGAGGGACTGGGAGAGACTGGTCCCATCCCTGCCCGGACACCTGGATCCACTCCTGGACATCTGGATCCATTCCCGGACACCTGGATCCATTCCCGGATGAGCTCCAAGGTCCCATCCCTGCCTGGAAACCTGGATTCATTCCCAGATTTAGCTCCACTGATACATCCCTGCCCGGACACCTGGATCCATTCCCAGATTCACCTCCATGGTCCCATCCCTGCCTGGACACCTGGATCCATTCCCGGACACCTGGATCCATTCCCAGATCAGCTCCAGGGTCCCATCCCTGCCCGGACACCTGGATCCATTCCCAGATTCACCTCCCTGGTCCCATCCGTGCCCGGACACCTGGATCCATTCCTGGATCAGCTTCATGGTCCCATCCCTGCCTGGAAACCTGGACCCCTTCCAGGCAAACCTTGACCTCCCCACCTGCCCCCTCCTGGAAATCCCTCCCCGCGGCCTCGAGCCCGACCCGGGACACCCTTCCCGCAAAATCCAACCCCGCGGCTCATCCTCCTCCTCTTCCTTTATTGTCCCTCCGGGGCAGGAAGGGGCCCCGATTACCCGGGGGAGGGGATTTGGGGGGGCTCCGGGGCGAGGGGAGGACGCGGGAGGGGGGTGGTTTGAGGGGGGGGGGGTCCGTGCTCAGCAATAATCTGAATAATCCTCCTCCACGTAGTTCGCCGGGAACCAGCCGACCTGGGGGGAGGCAGGATGGGATTTAGGGGGGGTTGGGGGTCGGGGAGGGGGCTGAGTGACCCCCCCCGGGGCGGGGGTCGTACCCGGCCGTAGATCTCCCCTTTCCACCAGCCCGGGTGTCCCTTCTTGCTGAGCACTCGGATCACGTCCCCCTCGCGCAGCGACAGCTCCGTCCGGTCCCGAGCGCTGAAGTCGTAGCGCGCCTTGGCCGAGCCGAAACTGCGCACGGCCCCTGGGAAAGGAGGGTGGGAGGGGGAGGCAGGGGTGAGACCCCCCCACCCCCGGCTGGTCTCATCCACCTCCTGGCCGTTGGGTCCCCCCTTGTCCTTCCCTC